CGAAGCAGATTATTCTACATGTGGCAGTATGTGAAAAATTAAAGATATTCTGAGCCAGCTTAGCACACTTTTAGATGTTCTAGCTACAAATCCTACCTAAAGCTGGTTGCAGTCTCAATATTCTGACAGTTTGATGAGCACAGTCTTTACTGACTCAGTGCTCTGTGCATAGCAGTGTCGTGTGGGACCTTCAAAACTTGTTCAGTTCAGCTGATCAGGTTATGGGATCTGTTAGGAATTCTATCCAGCCTTGATAGTTATGGGTCTGTGGGACATCTTTGCAGAGAAGATAAACAATCCTGAATCAAAGGAGTAGGGACTGACACTTTCGTTTTACGACAAGAGATTTTCAAGTCATAATAATTTTGAAACGCCCAAGGTCTATAGATCCTTGCTGGCTGTTGCATGGTTGAAGGGTAACCCTTGCAAAAACAAAGTTAAGCCTGTATTGCTGAGCCAAAACAGGAACGTTTCTCTCAGGCAACATAAATTCTTGCCTTATTGCTGAGCTAAAAACAGATCTTTCAGCCTGTATGATTGGGAAAATCCTGTGGATAGGGGTAATCTTCATGAGGTTCAAACTTTCAGAACTAAGTAGAGAAGCAAATTGTATCACTGACAATTTACAAGGAGTGGGATGCAGGCTAAAACCTCTCTGCATTCACTCTGGAGGAAAATACTTACATTGCACAGAGAAAAGTGTCTATGACTGATAGCTCAATCCCCAAGTCAGTCAAGTTAGCTCAGGAAAAAATCCATCTTCATTCTGCATATCTCTGCAGTTCCATCATGGAACCGACTGACTCTTGAGCCATAGTTGCAAAAGCAACATGAAAATAAATGTCTTGGAAAGCTTTGGTCTGAGGACCTTACTACTGAAGGCAGGGGAGGTGTTGGTAGAACCTCCGTGGTGCCGTGGGGCAGGCTTATGTTGCTTCATGCAGTAGGACTGCAACTGCAGTATGGGATTTTTACAACTTCTTGCAAACCAGTGCTGCATCCTTCTCGAAATTATACTGATAGTTAAAGGGAACGAGCACTTGGGAGATTGTTGCATCACAATTCTTAAATTAACAATCATGTTTAATCTGAGGGAGGAGGAAAAATAGGATGGCAATCACCACCCATTCCAGTTTCTATCTTTTTCTGCTGTCTTGGGAATGCAAGGCATGCCATAATACCTGGTCAGACCCTGCCTGCTGAGGGGGCTGGAGTGAATTTTGAAGGATGTGTTAGAACTATTTTGACACTTTCCAGATATTACTCCATGCAAAAGGAGTCTCTTGAGAGCAGAACAGGTGTCCAATTGAAACACACCTTTGGCTGGAAGCAAAGCAGAAGGGTAGGTTCGAGCTCTGTGGCAATGCTGGTCTTACCAACCCCTTCTGCAGTGGCTAAGGGCAGGAGCCTTTTCTGACACTGTTTTCTGCTCTTATCTTTTTAATGTATCAGTGATTCCTAACTGCTGTGTTTTCTTCCCAGTACCATAAAGCTAATGCAAATTTTGGCAGTGCAAATTTAGTGGTCCTAGGCTGGGGGAGGCTAGCAAAAAGGTGTGAGTGCAAAAGGGGAAGTTTTGACCTTTGGAGGCCTTTAAGGACATTTTCACTCATGTAACATCTTAATGTGATGGAGGTGGTAATTAAAATCCTGCTCTAAAGTACCCTGAAGCCAGAGCAAACAGGCACACAAACAAGATAATACCTTAATGATCTATTAAGGGATTGAAAAAAAAATCACTCACAAGTCCTGGCATTAACAGTAGTTGGCACTGTGGCCCATGTGAAGGCTGTGAGAGGACAGGAGAAAAATGCATGCTCCAGGTTTGTCCACACAGTAACACTCACCTGCGCTGGCACTTACACCTCTGGAAAGAATGCAGAGTGATTTTCCTTTCTCTGCCACCAAAGACAAAATTTTTTCATACTGTTTCCAAGGCAGCCAAGGGGTCTTTGTTCTAATCTGCAGCTGATAATTTATCTGGCCCAAAATCAATGACATCCAGTGTTAGCAATGGGTAGTGTGCCATTGTAGACAAGGGCTTTTAAAAAGCTGCAGCCTTAAAGCCTGCCTGTAGCATCATTTGGGGAGAGTAGAAGGATAATATAATAATATAAAAATAACGATTCAGGACTTGCAAATTGTTAGTCAAAACATAGTTGGAAGGCTGACAACACATGGCCTTACCAACTCATTCTCTCCCCTTCTCAGTTAAGTGACATGTTTCAAATTGAATATGCATACTGTTCATTTACTGGCATTATCAGAACAGTTTGAAGCACAGTACTCTCTATTTTTATGAGAGTGGTTTCTAAAGTAAATGTGAAATAATATCTTTATAAGTCTTCTGTAGGAAGTTCTTATTTGTAGTGCTGGACATGCAAAAAAATTACCTCTGTCTTCATGATTTCTGAGTGGAATTTTCCCTTCAAATTTCATGTTCAGGCCACCAAAGTACAGCTGTAAATAATACCCAAGTAAGACATTTTATTTATGGGGTTTTTTATTGACTCATAGGAAGGGTAATTTTGAGGGAAAATGAACTTATTATCCTGATGTTTGTTTTTTAAATAGGCAAGTAGGTCAAGTTTAGAGTTTGTCAAACTGACAGCATTTCATCATTCACTCAGTTCAGGCTTCATCTGTTTTAATTAACTAAACCTCCTTCCATTGTGCAATGTACAGACAGTGTATGCTTTCATTCCAAGTTTCCTAACTTTTTTTTATCCCTTAGCTTAATGCTGTATTAATTATTGCATCTGCAATGGTGGTGTCCACACCCTTCCCAAAATCCAGAGATGCTGGAGAGTTAAAAGTATTTTTGTTTGTTCTGGCAGATGGTTGAAAAGGGTATTTACTATGCCTTTTCCAATGGAAACACACTGTAAGTGGAGGATAGGGGATGCCGACAGTCATAACCTCTTCCCCATCTCTTTTTCATCCTGGTTGCCACAAAAGCTGTCTGGTGTGTGCCTCCTGCATCCTTAAAGCCTATGGTCAAACTACCTTTCCCATTCTGCATTTATGGTGGTGGTGCTCTCCCCAAGGACAGCCACACACCTTTCTGACATGGATAGACTGTGAAGAGCTGCCTCTGAGAAACTGCCATGAACAAGTTGAGAGATTATGGCTAAAAATCAATGACCAGACCAGTAAAGGGCATCTTGTGGTTGAGATCTACTGCAGACAGTGTGACTAGGGGAAGACTGTTGATGAGGACTTTTTGCTTCAGTTATGGGGGGCATTGTACTCATAGGCTCTCATCCTGATGGGGAGTTTCAACCACCTAGATGTCTGCTGGGAAAGCAATACAGCTGGTTGTAAGCAATCCAGGAGATTCCTGGAATGCATTGAGGACAAGTTTCTGGTGCAAATGTTAGACAAAGCATTCAGAAGAGAAGGGTTACTGGACCTGGTGCTCACCAGTGCAGCTGAGCCCATTAAAAAAGTTAAGATATGAGGCAGCCTGGGCAGTGGACTATTTGGCCGATAAGGAATTGGCTGGATGGATGCAGCCAGAGAGTTGTGGTCAACGGCTCTATGTCCAGGTGAGCGCCAGTGGCAAGTGGTGTGTGTCTTGGGACTCTGTCTTGGGACCAGTGCTCTTCAGTATCTTTATCAGTGGCACAGACAGTGAGACCGAGCATAATGTCAGCAAGTCTGCAGATGACGTGAAGCAGAGTGGTGCAGTTGACACAAAAGAAGGAAGGGATGCCGTCCATGGGGACATGGACAAACTGGATAAGTGGGCCCAGGAGAATCAAACCCAAATGCAAACTGGGAGAAGAAGTCACTGAGAGCAGCTCTATGGAAAAGGACTTGGAGGTTCTTGTGGATGAAAAGTTGGACATGAGCCAACATTTTGTGCACTGACAGCCCAGAAAGCCTGGGCTACATCAAAAGCAGCAGGGTGAGGGAGTTGATTCTCCCCTGTTGCTCTGCTTTAGCGAGACTCCATATGAAGCACTGTGTCCAGTTCTAGGGTCCTCAGCACAAGAAAGACATGGACCTGTTGGAACAAGTCCAAAGGAAGGCCTCAAAAGTGATGAGGGGCCTGGAGTACCTCTCCTGGAAAGACAGGCTGAGAGAGCTGGGACTGCTCAACAGGGAAAAGAGAAGGCTTGACAGAAACCTTACTGTGGCCTTTCAGTACTTAGGGAACTTATGAAAAAGAGGAAGAGTGAGTTTTTAAGTGGGCAGGTGATGTAAAAAGGGGAATGACTTCAAACTTAAAGATAGGTTTAGATTTGATACTAGGAAGAAATTCTGCACTATGAGGGTGGTGAGGTATCAGCATAAGTTGTGCAGAGAAGCTGTAGATAGCACCTCTCTGGAAGTGTTCAAGGCCAGGTTGGATGGGAGCCTTGAGCAACCTGGTCTAGTGGAAGTTGTCCCTGTCCATAGCGGGGGCTTGGAGTGAGATGATCAGGACAAGAGGTCACAGTCTTGAGCTGTACCAGGGAAGGATTAGGTTGGACGTTAGGAAGAATTACTTCACCGAAGGGGTGATTAGACATTGGAAAGGGCTGCCCAGTGAGATGGTGGAGTCACCACCCCTGGAGGTGTTTAATAAAAGACTGGATGTGTCACTTTGTGCCATGTTCTGTCTGACATGGTAGTGTTCGATCATAGGTTGGTCTCGATGACCTCAGAGGTCTTTTCCAAACTAATTGATTCTGTGCTCTTTAAAGTCCCCTCCGACCGAAACCGTTCTACGATTCAACGATTCCTTGACACGGGCACCACGGGAGGTTATCAGTGGCAGGGGCTGAGCGGGAGAGCACTCGATGCTCCGGGCCGCCGGGACGGGCGGCATTTCCGGTGCCGCTCGGCGAAAGACAAGAGCCAAAACAATAGGAGTGAAATCGGCGGCTGCGGCGGGGGAGCGGAGCGGAGCGGCGGGAGCGGCGGGAGCGGCTGGACAGCTCCGCTCTGCGGCGGCTGCCGCGGCCGCCCCGCCCCGCCCGCGCTGCCCCGCGCCCCGAGACGCGCCCGCCGCTCCGCTCCGCGCTCCCCGCTCGCCATTTTGCGCCGGGCGCCGCCGCGGGCGCTCCCCGTCCGCGTCCTGGGCTGACGGCGCCCGCCGGAGCCGGCGGAGGAGGAGGAGGAGGCACCGGGATGGAGGGTGACCGGCCGGAGAGCCCGGTGAGCTCGGGTGGGGGGAACCGGCGGGGCGCGGCCGCCGGGGCGGGGTGCCTCGTCCCTTGCGCTTGAGGTGCGGGGTGGGCTGCGGCAGGTTGCCTGTCCGTCTGTCCGTCCTCATGGGTGTGTACCGGCAGCTCCGTCGCCGCCCTGCCGGGAGCGGCGCCGGCGGCAGCCCCGCGGAGCCGGGACGGCGCGCAGGGCTCGCCCGGAGCCCTTCCGACGGGGCGCGGGGGCAGCGCTCCCGGGAGAAGCGCTCCCGGGAGAAGCGATCCCGGGGGAAGCGATCCCGCGGGGAGCCCGGGCGGAGCGGCGGCTGGGCTGGGCTGGGCTGGGCTGGCTGTGCCTGCGCCCGCCGACACCTGATGCTTAGCAGGGCGCGGGGCCGGGGGGAACCGTGGGGGCCGCGGAATTGCTGGAGAGCTGCACCGATTCACAGGCGGCTCTTTGTGCGGCGGATAAAGACGTAAATAAACGCATAAACAAATAAATAAATGATGTTCCGCACTCGGAATTATAGACCTAATGAAGTCAAGATACTTTCAGCCCTTAAATGTGAATTAGACGTGAGGAAAGGCTGTTGTTTAACCAGTACTGAGTATCTGACACTTAGTATCTTTTTCTTTTTTTTCGTTCCTGAAAAGCGAGCGAACAAGCTAAACGTATTGACTCCTATTGTTAAGAAGTATGGTTGCACTCGTTTCACTAGGTCCTTGAGTGGAATTAAGACTACTCCCCTCCTTTCCTCCCCTGCAATGCAGACATGACCTAAAGATGAACTGAGTTTGCCTAGTGGCAGTGCTCACTTCAGTTGAAATGAGCGTTGTCAGTGTTTTCATAAATGTTAATTGAGATTTGTTTGCAGCTTTAGCCAGAGAAGTGCCTCAAACCAGATAAAACTGTGTGCATTTATTCTACAGAGATGGGATTTTGGTGACAGAGCAGTGCCATAAATCTTGATGGCTCGTGTTTTCCTGCGCTTACACTTCTTTCTCCCTCTTTCTATCATGAAGGTTGCCATTAAGGGTATCGAAAGAGAGCTTATCTGCCCAGCATGCAAGGAGTTGTTTACCCATCCACTGATCCTTCCGTGCCAGCACAATGTCTGTCACAAATGTGTGAAAGAAATACTTTTTGCGTTTGAAGACTCTTTTGCTGATGGAGGCTCTGAATCCTCTAATCAGAGTAGTCCTCGAATCAGAATCTCTGCTTCTAGCATGGACAGAATTGACAGGATTAGTAGATCAGGTATGTAAGAATTTGTGCATGTTTTCCTAATTTTCTGAGTATACTGGCTTAAGATGACTGGTATCTGCATTGGTAAAATGGCTTCCCAGTACTCCTGCTGCGGTTAGAGACATGACTTAGGGATAGTGCAAGTCTTGTTCATTTTGAGTCAAGAACAATGGGAATATTTTTAAGGACAATGCGCTCTGTTTCGTACATAATAGATTTGTCTTTGTGGCATCCTGTAAATCTTTATAACTATTGTGTTTGTTTATTTCTGTATTTCACTTACACCAAAATGCAATAGCATCACGTTCAGTAGCGTCAAGACGTAGATTTCAGCGATTTTTATTGCCTGTCAGTAGCACGGTTGAGGTGGTTCTCTCGGGCTTCAGCCAGCCTCGGTGTGGTAGTTCTGACTTCCTTCTGAGCCTGTAGAGACTTTGCAACTTGTAGTTTTGTCCTGCCCACTTCATTATGCTTACAGTAAATAATTTCCCATTGATTATGATTATTGCACAGTTGCAGATTTGGAGGATAGATGACTCTAAGCAGACTGCGCTGACAGTTGCTTTCAGTGTGGTCTGCTCGAAGCTTTAAGGAGCACTTAGCTATAGGATTCCTCATGCCCTTTGTGGTATCATGTTATAAAGATTCTTACAGCTGTCTGTGTAATCCACAGATGAGTTGATCTTTTTTTATAGAGACACATTGAAAGTGCTTTGTGCATGCTGAACTTCTTGAAAGAAACCCCATCTTGGCTTTTAGGCCTTCTTCTGACATAATTATCCACTTTAAAACCACACTTCCTGGTGCTTTGGAAGAGTCACCAACAAGGCAAACTCTAAAGCTCTCTCTTGCATTTCCTGTTACTAAAGTTCATCCGCCCGAGTTTTCAGAGTTCAAATGTGCAATTTCACCCACTGCTTTTAAACAGCTAGTGAGTTGTTAGTATTGGTACTCCTTCAAATAAGTTTGATAAGCAAAAAGCCAGCTCTTGGTATTTCCCCCTGCCACTTTCACCCTGCCCTGAGATACATGCACACAAGTTGTTGCAGGAGTTGTAATCTTTAAATCCACAGTAGTCTGTGGATTTAAGCCACCACAGTAAGCCACCATCCCAGCAAACTGATGGGAAGATATCTCCTCATCTGATCTGCTAGTAGAAGAGTGATTACTTTCCTGAAGAGTTGTCAGATGAGTAGCAAGAGAGGGTTGAGACTTGGACATAATGGGCTTCCCCCCAAAGAGCGTTGGGCAGATGCACATCACAGGACAATTATCATCTCAGACAGTTCAAATTTGCAAAATGAAAAGCATATGGAAATGGGAGCTTTAAGGAATACATTTGTAAATTCAGGTTATACTGTCTTCACTTCTAATTTTACAGGCATTATAGCTTCATTGCTGTATGGGGTGTGGGATTTGCTCTCAGACAAGTTGGTACCAGTAATGGTCAACCACCTTGCGATTTACATCTGCACATTTGTCATCTTGCACCCGAAGTTCTCATAATGTGCATTGCCTTACTTAATTTTTTTTGTGATGCATAGGGGAATTTGTAGTAAAATAGCTCTACAGGAGAGAAAATGTTCTAGAAAACATCCAAAGTATGGTCTCAAATGTATAACAAAAAATCACTAGAATTTCTGGTAGGCTTTTGCAGTGTATATCACTGTCAAGTCGTTAGTGTCACATGTGAAAATGGATATGACACTTTCTTCCCACTGTGTTTTTTCTTCTTCTTTTTTTTTTTTTTTTCCCATTTAGGCAATCCCTGTTGTCTCCATAAAGAATATACTCTATTTTAAATGGTTTTGGCATTTAAATTCTTGAGATCTAGGAGGAATGGTTCATGTTCTGTATTTGTTGTGCACACACAGCTTGCATTTGCAAATATAGTTTATCTTAATGCAAAAAGGATGGAGCTGGTAGAACTCTCTTTTTCACATGGAGTGTGTGGGCTGCTTAAAATCCAGTGTGTCGGTTTAAAAACACTCCTCTGTTTATATTATATTTAAAATAACTTTTAATTTAAAAAATCAAGTTGCATGTGAAATGAAAATGAAGGATATTTCTTAGTGCTAATTAATTTTCTGTAATGTTACTGTAATTACAATGTTAATGTAATTAAAGCATGTAATGCGTTTATGTTGACACTTGTGCAACACTGATAGGTAATGCAGAAACTGAATGTTTGAAATATCTCTCCCTGTCCCCCTCCCCCCCAGTCTCTTCTTTCTCCCTTTTTCTGTTCTGCTTAAATACTACAGTTGTTTCATGTGCTAGGAAATTAAAGATTCTTGCCTTTCAGCCCTGCAGGAGTTTAACAGCCACAGGAGAGAAAACAGTTGATGCTTTTCATTTGAACCATTGTAAACCAATGGTATATCATTTTTTGGTGTCTAAACAGCTCTCTGTTCATTGTTTGCAGCCTCACAGAGGAGGTCTTTTGGGTGGAGAGGTAGAATTGCTTCACTTCTTGTGTTGGCTACAGATAGTCTAGCATTTAGATCTCAAGTTAAATATTGTTGGTTAGCATATACCTTTTTGTCAGTGGTCAAGTCCACAAAAAAGCTTTTTCAGTGAGCAAAGGTACAGCAAAGAAGTTCTATAATGACAGCTTTTCATTCTGTGTAACACTGATTTAAAGGTCAACTGGACTGGAATTCAGTTAAGAGTTGCATTATATTTTTTATTTTTTGTGTGTGTATGACTGAATATACATCGATGGGTGCAAAAATGCACACAAAACCCCAGTAGTCACCACATCACCTCCCCCACCCCCTTGCTTTTTAATTTTCATGAGTTTACATGCTCAAGTTTTAGTGAAACTGCTGTCTTACTGGTAGTGAAGTGTAATTATTAGATTGATCTTCCTAACCTTTAAAGGTCATGTTTGGCTATCACTTTCAAATGGTAGGTATTATTGGTTCTTCATTGTATCTGAACCTACTCAATTTGATAAAGAATGGGATTGAAATTTACACCATGGCAGCATATGAGTATACAAGGAAAGCTAAATATTTTAACCTTCAAGACTTGTAATGTTTGGTGGGCTTAATGAATGACACAGTCAGGTTGAAGGATAGCCAGTGTTTTAAGTGCATCTCATTTCCAAAAGCCAGCTCATCTGCGCAACTCAACCACTGTGTGGACTTGTTAACATTAATACTGGAGTTTTTTTTAATGTGATGCTCTGTCAAAAACAGAAAAAATCCCCAAACTCCATATTGCAACAGTATTGGCAGGCACGTGAGTGATCCATAGGAATATGTTATCCTCCACGAAAGATGCGAGCTAAACACAAATCCGAATTTCACTCTCAGGGGAGGACAAAGCAGCTAATTACAAGAGAAAGTTTAAAGTGCTTCAGTTGAAGGCTGAAAGTGTCATAAAACAAAGATACCATATGACCCTGTCAGTACAATTGGAAAGCTGTCCTCATCTGCTCTTTCGGCAGAAAGCACCCTTGATTTGTGAAAAATTAAGGTATCTGAAAGTAACATTTTAGAGCTACTGACTTTTCTCACAGTTTGTATTTTTCTTTCTCTCTAAAAGTTCATCTAAAAGCATTAACTGACTTAGGGGAGGTGGTAATATGCATTTATGTTGTAAACCCTCCAGTCTTTTAAGATAATCCAGTTGACTTTTAAAATCTTATTTTTTTTAAAACTCTCATACATTTAACTTCCATGTCTTCCACAACCATAGAATTCTGGTAATACTGTTTACTTGGAAAACACATTTTTATCTTTAAGATGTCTTGTCCCTTTGCAAACCATTCACTGCAGCTTGGACTTTTCAGTTCCTTGGGAATAGGAAATTTGAACATTGCCTTTAAAAGATTGCTCTTTGACTTGAGTCTTTGCAACCTATATGGTAATATTTGTGAGTTTGCAAATCATGAGCATATGTTGTGATAATTTTTGTTACTGATTGAGCAACTTAGTGCAAGTGGAGCAATCTGTTTACAAACCACAGTGGAAAATTTCTTGTGATGGTTCCTAATATTTTAAAAAAATATGTCAGAAAATACAAGTTTGTTGCAAACTGAATTGACAAAGTGTAAAAGAGAATATGGGATGGATCTAAGTTTCACTGAGCTGCATATATAACATGTCTACAAGATCCAGGGGTTGTGCTGCTCTTTTTTTTTTCCATGTGGTTTTTTTGTTTATTTGGAATTTTTTTTTATGTATAAGTAGAATTTAGTTTTGGCAAATTGGACACAAAACAGATAATAAGATAATACTTAAAGTAATTTATTACTTAATCAGTTTTTTTTTTTTTAATAAGAGTGTAGAAACCCTCTAAACAGAAAGCAGACTAATTCTTATGGCATGATAATATTTAAACACTTGCTAGGCAGAAAGAGAATGTTTCCTTTCTCTTGAGTGTTGAAGGGACAGAGAACTCCAGGAAGCTTAGCAAGTAAACTTTGGGGATTTAAAACAGGAAAAAAGCCCCAACCTAGACCCTCAGAATGCTGTCAATGAAAAGGGATGAGACATCTGCAGGTGCATGGGACTTCCCTGATACTGGATTGCTTTCCATAAGCAGTGTCACCAGTCTTTGCAGAGCATGGCTCATGATGACAGTCTCATTTTGGTCCACCATGGGCAGAATAAAAGGTCTCCATTGGGATGGATATGAATTTCAGATTGTATTTTTAAACTTGACCACTGCACCATGTTTGGTTTTTTTTTCTTGTTATCTTGCTTAGTCATTGTTTGCTCTCTGCTATAGCATATGTACCACCACAATGTATGATTTTCTTAGTTTCACCAAATGTATGTACTCCAGATCCCTTTTTGTAGCTGTTGTCTGCATGACACTGCATGTGAAGTCATCTTTTTGTTGTAGAAGTCTGTGTAGAAGATCTCTCTCTGTGTTCCTGTGTGCACTGCTAGCTTGGAGCATACATTGGAAATACAGTCCATGTTTCACTGCTCTTGCTGTGCCTTGCATGCCTGTGTTGCTGTGTATGCCAAGTTACAGGTACTGAAGGATGTGCAGTTTGGGTAATTAATTAATTTCAAGTAAGTACTGAAAAAAAATAAAATTAGGGAAAAAAAGTCTCAGCTTCCCTTACCAAGACAGTTGTACGCCTGTGCCTTGTGTTACCCATCCTGTTCTGTAAATGCAGTCTGGCTGTTCTGCTCAGAACCTACAGAAAGGCATGAGACTAGCTGACTTTGTGACTGTCAGTTAGTACACACTTACTTATGCTCTGGTTGTGGCTTCTTAGCTGACAATCATGCATAACTACCATGGGTCAAATTTCAAAGATACTTAAAGGAACTAATTCCTTATGGGAGTATTGGTTTGATGTTTTCTTAAAGAGACTGAGAAGGGCATGATAGGAATGTAGGTTTTGAATTGTTAGGTGAAACACCAACAGGAGGACAGCACAAGGCAAGTGTCTTGGGTAGGACACTTAAGAAAGGAATAAAGCATCAGCATATCTAATGGGAAAATATTGACTAAATACAGTGGAGAACAAATTTCCCTTTTTGAAGAAGAACCAGTTTCAACGCTAAGAATTCACCTTAAAGTCATACCTCAATTAATGAATTTGTTAGTGTCGTGGTTTCGGCTGGAATAGAGTTAATTATAAACTGCAGTATATACTGGAGTGATAACAATAATTAAAAAAAATTAGTAATGAAAGAGAGAGAGCAATAAAACCCAAGAGAAACGAGTGATGCACAATGCATCCACTCAGTTCATCCACTGACAGGCACCAACCTGTCTCTGAGCAGCAATCCACTCCTCCTGGCTGACTCCCCCTAGTCTATATACTGGACACGACATTCTATGGTATGGAATATCCCTTCGGCCAGTTTGGGTCAGCTGTCCTATCTCTTTTCCCTCCTGCTCACTGGTAGAGTATGGGAAATGAAAATTTCTTGATTTAGGGTAAACACCACTTAGCAACAGCCGAAACATCAGTGTGTTAGCAATGCTGTTGTCATACTGAATCCAAAACACAGCACTGTACCATCTACTAAGAGGAAAATTATCTCTAACCCAGCTGAAATCGGGACAGTTAATTATACCAACATGCAGTGCTCTCAAAGGGGTCTTAAAACAATGTACCAGCTACAGAAGATGTTTTTTTTGTTTGTTTGTTTCTTTGTAAGGGGAAGCTGGGAGGACACAAGACTGAAGACTGGCTTAGCCTGCTTCTAAATTACATAAAGGATTCTTTCTGATAGTTGTGTCCTGTGCGTTTATGAGTGAGACATGGGATGCACTCCCTGTCTGATAACCTCAACAACATTACTTTGTAAAAAGCTTTTGAGTCTGTGTGAGCCATCCCCCTGACAGACTCCAAGGGCTCCTTAGGTTTGTGGCTTTTCTTGAGCCTGTGATTTTATTTTGGAGAGAGAAGAAATTTGGTTGTAGCTGTTTGGTAGAAGTGCAGTTGCTCTGCCTCTTTTCCTTTTGAAATGAATAAAGATGGATGTACCCTGTGTAACAGTGGAATTTTCTGGGAATAACTAGTTTTGCTCTGGGAATAAGTGTCTTTCACTTCAACATGCTACAAAGCTGTTGCTCTCTACATGGGCAGTCATTTAGCCTAAAAACCAACTGGCTTCCACAAGGTTTTGTGTTTAGTGCTTCAAAAGCTTAAGTGCATCCAAAACTAGATGAAGAAGATAGGATTGGCACATCTAAATTTATCTTAACATAGAATTACATTTTCAAGGAGTAGTTGGTAATGTCCCTTGGAGTCAGACATTACACCACCTTGTCATGGTAATTGTATTCTCTTTGGCTTGGCAGACTGCATATGAATTGGTGTTGTACTAGTTTGGACAATGTGTTACAGTAGTTTGGTTCATATCTGTATGTCTTTTAAAATCTAAACCAGTTCTGTTTATGCTGCTTCTAAATTCGAATTTGGTGTCTACACAGGCAGAAAACGCAATTCACTGACTCCTAGATCGACTTTGTTTCCTTGTCCGGGTTGCCAGCGGGATATTGATCTCGGAGAACGGGGCATCAATGGCTTATTTCGCAACTTTACTTTGGAAACCATTGTGGAAAGATATAGACAGGCAGCCAGGGCAGCCATTGCTATTATGTGTGATTTCTGCAAACCTCCTCCTCAGGAGTCTACAAAAAGCTGCATGGACTGCAGTGCAAGCTATTGCAATGAATGTTTCAAAATACACCATCCTTGGGGAACTCTGAAAGCCCAGCATGAATATGTAGGACCAACCACCAACTTCAGACCCAAGGTAAGTATACCACATCTTACAGAATTTGGGTTGCAGAATTCTCATGTAGCTTTAGACATATCTGTGCAATGGTAGTTGCTTTTTAGGACCGTTGTTTTATTGCTGTTATTTACTGAGTGAACTATAAGGTTGTCATTGATGAGGACACTGAGAACATATTTGAAGAGGACCTCAAAGTAAGTTTTTTTGCTTTGTGGAATGGATGAATTGTTGTTATTTGAGTCTTTTTTTGTTGTTGTTGTTTTTTTCTTTTTGATAAGACTTCATGATCTTGAACATTTAAAATGGCACTGCCATAGGGAGGATATGTGGTAAACTTAAAAAGCCAACACACCTGGCCTCCTCCATGCCCCCTTAAGGCACATTCCCCTTGGATACTTTGTGCCTGATCCATCATGAAGTATCTTCTTTCTCTCCTTCCTAGCATCTGGGCAAATTTTCTAGTTTACACACTGCTACTACTGTTGCTGCATTCAAAGCAGAGTGATTGCAAAAGTGCTGTTACGTTTGTTTCTGCTGCTGAGTGTGGTGCAGTACATGACAGTGCCTTATTGAATTCAAGTTGCACAACAGGAGAAATTGTCACAGACACCATCTCTCTAACAAAGGACCACAGTAGGTCTTAATGTCCCAGCACATGCTTTGTGCCTCTGGCTGGTGGCCTTGCTGGAGGTCCCACAGATAACAGAAATGCTGATGGTCAAGGAGTCCTGATTAATTTTGATTAAATTAAGTAAATTGATTAATGTGCATTGTGTAAGAAGGTCTTGACTTCACAGTACCTTTCTTCTGAGATTGGAAAAACGAGAGCCTCCAAAGTAAGCTAGCTACCAGATAGTGAATATCCAGAAGTCCACTTGGTGCTGTTTTTCTTGAGTCTAACATTAATTCCAGTTAAAAATTGGCATGAGCTTCATGCACTTTCCCATGTGCTAGCGCACATATTGTATGAAAGGTCCCTTTATGGGGTAAATGAGAAAGGTGAAAGTTTCCATGTGGTCTTCTAGCTCTTGCTTTAAAGTGCTGTACAGCTCCTTAAAAACTTTTCTTCTGTGGTATATAAGCTTTCACAGCTGCAACATTGCTATGTGAAAATACTGAAGGCACCTTGTGATCCTTAGGTATTCCTAAAGGTGCCATATGATTTATACTACATGCTAAATTTGGGATTGAAAATCCCAGACTGAATTTGGGATTGAAAATCAGTAGTTGAATTTTGTTGAAGTGGAGCAAAGGGGGAAGGAGTGGTTTAGATTATTCTGATATTGATATGTTGAATATGTCTGGGTGTGTGAGGTTTAGCTTTTTTAAGTAAATGTGAAGAACAGGGGGGAAAAAAAAAAGAGAAACATAGTATAGGTAAATCAACTAGAGATAGATCTACTTTGTGGAAAATCTTCCCTACGGCAGTAAGCTGATCTTTACTTTGCTCTTATAGAGACTTCTTTGAGGAATACCTGAGCTCTACTTAAAGAAAGAAAGTGCATTTTTCACTGCCCTGCATTCTGAAGACCTGAGCTGAAAACATGAAATATTTGTTGGTTTCCTAAACAATTGTGACAGTCATCACTTTAATTTTCAATGAGACTGCAGAGCACTTTGTATTGTGTGTGGTGGGGATGGGAGAAGAATATACTGGGCTGATTGTTCTTGATTTTTGAGAGAACTAGACAAGGTAGTCTGCTGACCTCTGCTGTCTCTATGTCTCAGGCTGTAATTCTTACTTATATGAGGAGATGAATAAAAATACATGTTTTCTGTTAGGTGTGGGTATACATGGCTGTGGAAAAATAACTTCCACAGACTAACTGAATGACTCCAGTTTTTGGAGATGTCTGCCTGCAGAGCTGATTTTCCTGGCAGTTTCCTTCTTTTTTTTTTTTTTTCCCCTTTGTTTTTTCCTTCCAAATCCAGTAGTCAGTGATTGCTTATTGCATATTTGGCTTAATGATAGTCTCAATGTACCAAGGCGCTAGTGAGATTGGTGTCTTTGGGCTTTTCACCATACCTTTAGATAACAACTGAGGTTTACAAGTTGGTTTTGGAGAAAATGTGCAGTTTTAGTTTGTTGTGTCCATATTTGTGCTACTCACAATTTTCTATTTTTGTGCCCTTTCCTGTCCTTTCTGTGTGTGGGCATCTTGAAACTGCAAAAATTCCTCAAGAGCTGTTTTTTGGTAACTTCTATGGAATAGGTGGTCCAAGTGTTGCCTTGTAGCGCTCTGGAATGAGGCAAAACATTGTTTCTTTTTTTTTAAACCAATACACACCCCTTTTATATGGTTTTATCTGTTGCTTGAACTTGGATTTGAGTGGCACTTTTTTTTTTCTTTTTGAGCAATTATTTCAACATGTTCAGTTTTTGGAAGATGATTTTTTGTGGACACCAGTTTTTTTGCAATGCTGTTTAAGCTGGTCCTGGAATTAGCACTCGGTGTGAACAACTTGTAGTTGGAGTCAGAAAGACTGAAATACTGGAGCCTTTTGTCTTTAAAATAACTGTGGCTGGTGATATGGTTTACTTTGTTGCTCCAAGACTAGTGGCTATGTGGTTTATCATAGTCTTAGACTTAAATTGTTAAAGTGTTACATCAGCTCTTTAAGAAACAGTTCATATCTGTTTCAAGAGATGCTGGCATGAACTTTTTTTGGTTTTTTTTTGTTTGTTTGTTTCTTTGAGAGGCTGGGTATGTTATACATTGCATTTACATCTCTGAGCAGGAGTGTAGGGAGCTGGAGGCGTGCAAACAACTTGGGCAGGGATTAGCAAAAGGGTTGGTTGCCGTATGGAGGCTACATGGCAAGTTGGGTACACAGACATTGTTAGAGGTAAACCTTGTGAAACTGTGTGACGTTGACAAATATAATATGTGGAAGATAAACTGACTATAAAGAAAATCCACTGATGAAATCACAGGCTGCTTTGGGTTGATTGTTTTGATGGTTTGTTGAGCATCTCGGTTTTATTAAGTAAATCTGTATTTTCTCTGCTCTTTTTTCCCTCCCTGCCCAGATTTTGATGTGTCCAGAACATGAAATGGAGAGGGTAAACATGTACTGTGAAATCTGCAGAAGGCCTGTTTGTCATCTCTGTAAACTGGGTGGATGTCATGCAAACCATAGAGTAACAACCATGAGCACTGCCTACAAAACCCTTAAGGTAAAAGTAAATATCATTGGACCTGGCCTTAAGAAGAGGAAGAGTGCTGAGCTTCTGGTGTAAGGGCAAACTCCCTCTGGCTGGAAGCCAAGACTTGTGTTTAGAAGACCCTGAACTAGTCTTGAGGCACGCTCTTGTGCAATATTGGTTAATGTATATATTAGTGTGACAAAGTGCATGTCTACTACACTGTGTTTTCTGTGAGGCTTAAAACATAAACCCTTACAAGTGCTTTCCCCTAATCTTAGCCATTTGTACAGCAGTACATACAATGCAGAAGGTTTAAGCAGTTAATACTTCGCAGTCAATTATTTTTTTTGTTATAAATATTCTAGTATCTTGGGGTAACTGATATTTCAGAAGCATTTCTGAAAAGTTTGCATCAGAAGTATCTATTGGGACCTTGAATGTTTCTGAAGTTGCATAGCTGTTAATTTCCTAAGCACAGCACAACAGGGAAAACTTGCAAACATTGCTTTGTTAATAAACGATGATTGCTCCTATTTCCTCCTTTACCTTTTCTTCCTGCCTTGCTCACAGGAGAACAAAAAAAAAAAAAAAAGATCAGAGTAGCCTGCCTTGTGCTCTTTGGCCTCCTCAGCAGTTTGCAAGGCTTTTCCTGTACAACTGCTAACTCTTGCATCTAAGGGAGTACAGAGACACTCATAATACTGTCATTTGATCCACTCCTTTTTCTAACATATTTTACTACAAGCGAGTTAATAACTAACAGCTCTTTTGTGTAAGTTTTGTTAATGTCCTGAAGCCTTGTGTTCCTAACCTAAGAGAGGGTGACTCCTGGCTGGCTGGAGAGGAATGAGCCTGCTCACACTGTTGCCTCTTGTCCTTCAAGGCTGTGCCTCCAGTCCTGCTGTCCCTGTGCAGTCACTGCAGGTCACCAAGCAATTCTCCACAGGGTTGCTGCTCATGACTGGTGGCAGGCTGTTGTCCTTGTGGCTATGTAAACTGAACACTAGCTGGATGACCTGCCTGTGATGGTTGTCACTTTGTGGTGGATACCCTTATTCTGCCATCTTGCTGTTTTATTTCAACAGGAGAAGCTTTCAAAAGATATCGAGTACCTCATCAGTAAGGAGAGCCAGGTGAAAGCTCACATCACACAGCTGGATCTGCTACTGAAAGAAACAGAGGTAAGAGTGGCTTGCAGGTTGTCTGGAGATGACCCTTAAAGACACAGCAAGGACTCAAAACTGTTTTCAGTGAAACATTTCAAACTTTATTTTTTTTCAGTTAAGAAGTAAAGCAGTTTCTGAACAGATTATGTTAGTAGTGAGTCACACAAGGTGACACCTAACCCTGTTAGTGTGGGAAACAGGGAAATGACACAGAGGAAAGGTAATTTTTGTGTGCTGCTGAAAATTTAAATAAAACAAAGCTTAACTGATACCTTAACCAGTGGCAGGTGCGTTGGACATGTGTCACTTGTATATTAACAGTGCTGCACCATTTAGACTGCCTGTTTACTGTGACGTCAGAATTAAGGGCAAAATCTCTCTGCAGAAGAGTCACAGCTGGAACCTCACACACAAGCTGAAAAACACAAAAGCAGAAATTGGAGGAGTTCCTGTGTACCTTGATTGCAGATTGCATCTGTGCTTTGCAGTTCCTCTTACCCAGGGTGGTAGTCAGCAGTGGCACTGCAGTTCAGAGGGTATAGGTGAGAAACTGGACTGGATCCTCAGTTCAGAGTAATGGAGAAAGGTGGAAGAGCACCTAGCTTCTGTGCATGAGGACTTCAGAGACTGACCTGTTTTTAAGTGCTTTTTCATGAGCTGTTTTGACAAATGTAATGCATAACTCAAGACATAATCAGAGGAATACTTTCCTGCTCTTCATTCTTTGTGTTCAGACAGTAAATGCTGACTAGTTTGGGTGCAGTGCTGATCTAATTTTCAGTGCTAAAGAGCATAACAAAGCTCATTAGTGTTGTCTGTGAAAGGGATGATTAGATTACTATGATATCTTGAACAAACTTCAGTATATTTCTCTACAGAACCACAGTGCTGTGGAGTCTCTCTAAAATGTCTTTTGTTTTCTCCTAGTGCAACAGTGAAAGAGCTAAACAAGAAGCATCTCAGAGTTTTGAGAAATTATATCATGTCCTGGAAGAGAAGAAATCTGCAGCTCTTAGGGCAATTGAAACTTCTAAGAATATAAGGCTGGAAAAATTACAAACGCAAGTGGAAGAATATCAAGGGCTCCTGGAAAATAATGGCCTTGTAGGATATGCTCAAGAAGTGCTTAAAGAAACTGATCCCTCTTGTTTTGTTCAAACAGCAAAACAACTTCATGTCAGGTATCTTAAATATCTTATGTTTGAGATACAGGTACTGTTCCAGGACTTCTGTGCAGTTGTACTCTTTTGACACCTGCTAGCAAAGTGCTGAATGCAGTACCTTGTACTGCAGAGGCTCAGGAAATGGTCTTGGTACTGTTCAGTCAAAATTACTACAGTAGAGTGTGCATTAGGAAACAACACACAGCAGAGGAAGGGCTCTGTCCTGCAACAGTGCCTAGCCCTGTTCAGTGGGACTACAGTGGAAGGGTAGTCTGTTTGGCTCCCTGACAAATTCCTTTGCTCAGAGATTGTATCAGGTACTTGCAAGTTAATCTAGCAGGTTTCTTCTGGCTTTAAGTTCTTTGATATTTATGTTCTCCACTAGCCCTTCACATCTATTTTGTTCTTTGAACATAATGCTCCAAATTGTTTAAATGCTTTCCCTGCCGAACAATTACCTGTTCATTATATTTACACTGAGATACAAAAGGCCTTTAAATTTTGCATTTGAATTCTGTCTAGAGAGACAAAAATTTCTGGGAGACATCAGTAAGTTCATGAAAGTGGAACTTTTTTTAAAGCACAAACTAGCATTTTTATTTTAAGGAATACCTACTTGAATTCCCTTTTCTCTCTTCTGCTATTCTCCTGCTTCTGTTTTCAGAATCCAAAAAGCTACTGAATCTCTGAAGACCTTTAGGCCAGCAGCTGAAACTACTTTTGAAGACTTTGTGGTGGACACTGCTAAACAAGAAGACATCCTTGGTGACTTGTCCTTCCATTCTAATGGTAAATTCTGAAGGCATCAACTCTTCCTCAAGTTATGGCTTTAAGGGCTTCGCTGAGGAAAGGCAAAACTTACACAGGGCAGCAGTTGCAGAGCTCAGTCTTGTAATTTGTGTTGTCCCTTCTGTCTCTGTAATCCTGAAAGCATTACCTGGCAGCAGTGTTATCTTCAGCTCTCATAAGGAAGTTAAGATGCCACTGGATTCAGTACCAGTTTACACTTACTTCCAAAATATTGTAGTTACATCATACTCGGTCTTCCTAGAAACTCTTTATTGCATGACAGGAAATAGTAGGTTTTAATATTTTTTTTTTTTAGCTACCAGGAAAAAAGTCTTGAGCCTTTCAAAGTAAAAGTAAAAAATAAGGGATTTATTTAAGTGCACAAACAGAGAACCACCCTCATCTACTCACTTTAACTGAGTGAGTCAGATTCCCTCCTTACACAGGGCAGTAGCCACTCAGCAAAGGGGTGTATGGTTAATTCTAAAACAATGTACATCTAAATTTGAGGGTTTTTTTCTTGTTTATTCCAGGTCTAGAAATACCAGAAATCAATGAAGAGCAGAGCAGAATGTACAACAAAGCTCTGATCAGTTGGGAATGCCCTGGGAAGACAGACTCAGCTGACATCTATGTTCTTGAGTATCATAAGCTTAATAGAGATGAGGAGAATGTGACATGGCAGAAGATTGAAGTTTGTGGCCAGACCAAAGTAGTGTCTGATCTAGATGATGACAGCAGCTACGCCTTTAGAGTTCGAGGATATAAGGGGTCCATCTGTAGCCCTTGGAGCCGAGAAGTTATTTTGCGTACACCTCCAGCTTCAGGTATTGGGTTTTCTTATGTCCACAAGGTGGTAATTCTGTGTCTGTCAGTGTTAAGAGCTCTAAGTACTTTCCAGTAGGTCCCAGATGTCCATTACACTGTTACCCATTGCATAAATGTTTAGAAGCACTATTAAAATTTAAGAAGGTAACATACAGAGACTGTTAGCTTGCATGACATGCCTGGTAGCATTTAAAAGTGAGGAATTCTAATGCTGGTGTGACTTAGAATGTAGTTTATAAGCTTAGAAAGCCAAATAGTTAACTAAGCAGAATTTTTTTGGGATACTGTTTTTCAGTTTTCAGTTTTCTGTTTGACGACAAATGTGGATACAACAATGAACATCTCCAGCTGAACCCAAGAAGAACTTCTGTGGAAAGTAGGGCTGGATTTCCTTTACTGCTGGGATCTGAGCGCCTGCAGGTTGGATGCTACACAACTCTGGATTACATCATTGGTGACACTGGGATTGCCAAAGGGAAGCACTTCTGGGCCTTTCGTGTGGAAGCCTATTCATACCTGGTGAAAGTGGGAGTTGTTCCTAGCAACAAGATACAGAAATTGTTCCACAGTACCCATGATGTGACCAGTCCAAGGTAAATTGCAGACTCTTGCCTAATGTATATTTTATATAAGGAGATGGCTGTTTAAAAAATAAATTGAGGGCAAGTCTGGTCTCCGTACACAAGGTGAACCTAACCAGTGAAAAGTGATTTGAAGAATATAGTGTAAGCAGGTTGTCCTGTTCATCCCTACTGTTAGCAGAAAGATGTTCTGATTATCCAGAGTCCTATTTTGTTTCTTTTTAGGAAAGAAGTCAGATTCCTGTAGATTTTAAGGTATGTCAGTTAAAGCAAGAAGGTTAAAAAAGAAAGTGTAAGTTCTAAGTTTGAAGCAATGCTTAATTATCATTGGTAAGACTTTGCCTTAATTCCCTTAGGGAATTCCCTTTACTAGGTTTGGCAGCCATTCAGAGGTACAATGTTCACTGGGTATATTTGCATATTTTTCCAGTAGCTTGCGTGGTCACAGTGCATTCCAAGTCACTGGCTTATCTCAGGCTATATGCTCACATACAGTACTGGAGTGCTACAGTACTAAGCACAAGCCAGAGTACAGTGGGCAAACCAATAAAAAGATATCCATCTCTCAATTGCAGCTGTAGTAAGCCTGGAACTGCAGGCTGGGAGGCTATCTCCTGGCAATTCTTTTTCCGAAATTTAATGAATGTATTAGCTTCCAGCTGTGTAGCACACTGGAAGTATGTCAGCTCAGTCTGGAGCTGATTAAAGTCAGATGGAGTATTTTTTGCAAAGTGAAAAATTAGATCCAAATTTTTGATTTCTTTTTCCTTATCTGCACACGTATCTGCAAAACTTTAGCCAACTGGCCTCAAAGCCCACCCAGACTGAATCCCCTGGAAACCTAGGTAGGGATTGCCTGCACTGAAGAATGTGTGCTTCTTTGGTATGTCTTTATCAGGGGACAGAGGTCAGGATAAAAACATGTAGACTGAGCAAATATGGCTAGAACCTTCGTCAGTAACCATCCTGGAAGTGGTCCAGGAAAGCCTTGAGACAGAGCACTTCAAAAAAAAAAAACCTAAAATTAAACCACTAAACCACTAGCTTTTGTGGTGAATTTTAAAGATACTGTAATATAGCGGCAGTATGACAAACTCACTGGACATCATTTTGTCTCTAAGGATCGGTCATATTTGCTAAATTACTTCTCAAGCCAACTAATTTACTATACCTTTAGGTTCTTTAATGATTGCCTCACATAAGTACATTTAGACACATCCGCTCCTTAGTGAAGTCTTTTGTGGTCTCGTCCTTATTAGAGTTTATTGTTTGAAGTGGCCCAAGTGAGTGTAATCCACCTACTAAATGCGTCTTCCTTCCTGGCTTGGGTATGTGTCACTAGTGTAAGCAAAGCCTGGTGGGATGAGTCCTGTGACTGTTGTGCCATGTTGGATGGTTGCAGGCTCTTCAGGAGGGAAGGCAGGGCAGGCAAGGCAGTGGGGTGGTGTATGTAATGCAGGGACTGGAATGTATGGAGCTTGCAGTTGGTGATGGCACAATTGAGAACCTCTAGGTAAGGATTAAGGGACAAATAAAGCAGGTGTCATCCTGGGAGTCTACTACAGGCCACCCAGAAAAGATGACCACGCTGATGAATTATTCTTTAAGGAACCAGGGGATATCTCTCCATCACCTGCACTTGTCTTTAAGGGGGACTTCAGCTTGCCAGTTGTTAATAGGGAGCATTCCACAGCTGGCACAAACAGGTCCAGAAGATTCCTAAAGCACCTGGATGCTAGCCTCATGGCACAGGTACTAAGGGAGCCAACTAGGAAAGGTACCCTCCTTGATTTTTTCCTTTTTAACAGTCTTTTAGAGGTCTTGTGACCCTTTTAGAGGGTCTCGTGAATGAGGTGGTGATTGGTGGCTGTGCTGGCCACAGTGACCACAAAGTAATCGAGTTTAAAATCTCTGTTGTGAGGAGGAAAAGTGCCAGCAAAGCTTCAGCTCTGGACAGGAGGAGAACAGACTTCAGACTGCTCAGGGGACTACTGAGTCAGGTCTCCTGGGAAAATGCTATTGAAGATGCTGGTCATTTTTTAAACAACACCTTCTAAGGGCAAAGGGCCAGGCAATTCCAAAAGCAGGCAAGGCAGAAGGCTGGCTTGGCTGAGCAGGGATCTTCTAGAGTTAAGGCAAAAATAGAAAAAGCAATACCAATGAAAGCAGTGGTATCATGGGAGGAATGCAGAGCTGCCACTCACTACTATGGGGAGACAATTCAAAACCTGGTTGGAGTTGAAGCTGGCCAGTGTTGTGAGGGACAATAAAATGAGGTGTTTTTTTAAAAAAATTTAATATCCAAAGGCAGTCAGAAATAATATTGGCCCATTACAGGATGGGGATGGTTACCTCACTAACAGGGACACAGACAAGGCAGAGGTGTTTCGTGCTTTATTTACCTCAGTTTTCAACACCAGAGTGATGGGCTCTAGGGGTCCCGGAACATGAGGACTATGACTGTGAGAATGATCAACTCCCAGCCAACCCCCCAAACTTGTGCAGGATTTTCTGAGTCCCCATAAATCTGTGAAACTTGAGGGTATTCACCCTTAGGGTACTGAGTTGGTTTGTGTCATTGTGAGATCTCACTGGTGTTTCCACGGTCTTTAGAGGTCTCAGTAAACTGGAAGCTGTTTAATATCCTGGTTTTTGAGAAGGGCAGGAAGGATGACCCTGGTAACTACAGGCCTGTCAGTCTCACTTCAGTGACTGGTAAAATTATGGAGAAGATTATTCTGGGAATTATTGAACAAGACCTGAAGGACAGTGCAGTCATCAGTCACAGCCAGCATAGGTTTACTGGGGGAAGTCCTTCTTCAAAAACTTACTTTCCTTTCATGACAAAGGTAACCACCTAGCTGACCAAGGGAAGTCAGTTGTTGTAATCTCTTTGGTTTTCAGTAAAGCTTTTGATACTGTCTCTCCCAGAATCCTTCTGGATGAAACACCTAGTGCACTGCCGCATAAATAAATTGTGTGTTGTGTAAGCAACTGGCTCATGGATTGGGCACAAAGAGTTATAGTGAGTGGGGTAGCATCAGGCTGGTGACTGGTCACTAGTGAGGTTCCACAGGGCTCTATCCTCAGCCCCAGTTCTCTTCAATATCTTCTCAAATGACTTGGATGCAGGACTTGAAGGTACATTAAATAAATTTACTGCTGATACCAAACTGGGAGAAGATGTTTACTCCCTTAAAGGCCCTACAGAGAGATCTCGACAAATCAGACAAATCAGACAAATCAGAGGTCTGATTCTTAACCCTATGAAGGTTAAGAAAGACACGTGATGAGTTCTAAACCTGGGACAAGGCAACCCTGGATGTACAGACAGACTGGGAAATGAGGTGCTGGAAAGCAGTGCCATGGAAAGGAACCTGATGGTCCTAATCAACAGCAAGTTGAACGTGAGTCAGCAGTGCCCTGGCAGCCAGGAGGGCCAACCGTGTCCTGGGGGGCATCAGGCAAAGCATCACCAGCTGGTTGAGGGAGGGGATTGTCCCTCTCTGCCCTGCACTGGTGTGGCCTCACCTCGAGTCCTGTGTGCACTTTGGGAACCAAAATACAAAAAAGACATTAAGCTGTTAACATCCAAAGGAGGGCTACAGTGTTGAAGGGTCTAGAGGTGAAGCCATACAAGGAGCATCTGGACAAGCATTTGACTTGTTCAGCCTGGGGAACAGGAGACTGAGGGGAAGCGGAGGGGCAAGTACAAACCTTTTCTTTCTGGTGACCAGTGACGGCACCCAAGGGAACAGCATAAAGCTGTGTTGGGAGGTTTAGGCTGGATATTAGGATAAGGTTCTTCACCCAGAGGGTGGTTGGGCACTGGAACATGCTCCCCACTGAAGCAGTCACAGCGCCAAGCCTGACAGAGTTCAAGAAGTGTTTGGACAATGCTCTCAGGCATGTGATGTGGTTACTGGGGTTGTCCTGTGCACAGCCAGGAGTCAGACTTTGATGATCCATGTGCGTCCCTTCAAACTTAGGGTATTCTATGATTCTATGATATTCTTTGAGGTTTTTGTGGGTGATTGTGTGGTGTTTCCTGTCTTTCAAACATGTTTTTTCCAGTTCACATCACTTCAGAATTTGACAAATGCACATGGTTGTTTTTCTCTTCCAGATATGAGCAAGACAGTGGTCATGACAGTGGGAGTGAAGATGCCTTCTTTGACTCATCACAGCCTTGCACGCTGGTCACTTTAGGCATGAAAAAGTTCTTTATCCCCACTACACCTGCTGCTCCCAAGGATCCAGCAAGCAGAATCCTTCCCCTGCCGTCGTGCCTGGGCATTTGCCTTGACTGTGACAGAGGCAGAGTAGGGTTTTATGATGCAGGCCGTATGAAATGCCTTTATGAGTGTGAGGTGGATTGCTCTGGCATAATGTACCCAGCATTTGCTTTAATGGGTGGTGCAGCAGTTCATCTTGAGGAAGCTGTCATAGCAAAGTACGGAGAGTACAATGACGACATCTAGCGCAGTAGTCTCTTCCCATTGCTGTTTCAAGATGCAAAATGAAAGCAGAAGAATTCTACCTTAGTTTTCGGTCCTGATTAATTATATTCTACCTACATGTTGCTCACAAGCCTCTGGCCTGTGTTTTTTTGAGATAAAGAGTCCAGGCGCTTTCCACACTAAAGAAATTCTCCTGCCTTTCTTGTCATCTATGCAGTGCTGTCCTCCAGAGACTTTTTTTATGGGGGAAGCAGGGAAGAAGTTTGACTAGCAACCAAAATTTACTCTTCAGGACTAGCAACCAAAACTTACTCTTCAGGGGTAGAAATCTGCCTTTTATTTAACTCAAATCCTTACATAGTCAGTTTTGTATTTAATGAAGTCAAAACTGACAGTTTGTGATTGCCATTCTTCTTTTAAGAAATCTGCCTGAATGCCTCTGAGGGGTCAATGCTTTCCAGTTAACCCTTGAGCACCAGTTGGGCCTTTCAGCACAAAATAGTATTTGAAAAAATACAATATAAAACGGGAAGAAATTAGAAATCAGAAATGCCGTTGAACATTTAAGTTATATTGGAAAGAGGAGGGTAAACTTGAATCTGATTGCATGCTGTATACCTTTAATGTGATTGTAAGCTGAAACTCAAGTTCTGGCACATGGTGTCATATAGTTGGTGGCCTGATGGTAAGTTTCTTTACTCTTCCAGACTTTTACTATAAGCTATTTAAAATAACGTGCAATTTTACCTTAAATGTCAGAATTTGGAGTCAAAACTCAGAAGTGTTTGCATGTATGAATAATAGTACCAGGTGTTTAAGCAAAAGCAAGGGAGTTACTGACGTGAGTAATCATATGTGAACTTGAAAAAAATCAGGTATTTCTTTTAATACTCACTCTTATAGGTTAATTTTTTATCTAGTAACAGCTTGGGTTTTTCTTAGTAAGATTGCTAAAAGTGCACTGATTAAGTTTTGAGACCTAATTTCTGCCTTAAAGGATGTCTCCCTTCAGATTTCAGTTCCTGTAATGTTAAAAACTGTATCACACAGTATTTTTTCCAAGAGTCATAGAAACACAGAATGGCTTGGTTTGGAAGAGACCTTTAAAGACTGTCTAGTTCCAATGCTCATGTCATGGCAGGGGCACCTTCCACTTGACCAGGTTGCTCAAAGCTATGTCCAACCTGACCTTGGGTTGGGACCAGGGATGGGAAACCACAGCTTCCCTGGGAAACCTTCTCCAGTGTCTTAGCACCCTTATTGTAGAAATTTCTTCCTTATATCCAATCTTAATCTAAACTCTTTTAGTTTAAAAGCATTGCCCCTCATCCTGTCTCTACAGGCCTTGGTAAAAATCTCTCTCTCTCCCCCTCACTCCATCTTTCTTTTAAGCCCTTTTCATATATTGAAAGGTTGTAATAAGGTCTATCCAGAGCCTTCTCTTCTCTAGGCTGAACAACTCCAGCTCTTTCAACCTGTCTTCACAGGAGAGGTGTTCCAGTCCTCTGACAATTTTTGTGTTTCTCCTCTGTACTGGGAGCCCCAGAGCTGAATGCAGTACTCCAGTGGGAGAATCACCCTGATGGCCACCCAGCAGCCCAGGATACTTTATGCGCTGCAAGCACACATTGCTGATCATGGCCAATTTTTCATCCACCAGGATGATCAAGACCTTTTCTGTAGGGCTGCTCTCCATCCCCCAGTCTGTACTGGTACTGGGGATTAGCTGGATCCAGGTGCAGGACCTTGTGCTCAGTCTTGGGGTACCTCAGGAGACCCACATCAAGACTGGTACCAGTACAGACCCTTGAGGGACACTACTCATTACTGGTTTCCACTTGGGCATCGAGCTATTGACTGTGATTCTCTGGATGTGGCTATCCAGCCAATTCCTTATCCACTGAACAGTCCATCCAATCAAACCCATATTTTTCAAGTTTAGAGATAAGAATGCTGTGGAGGATCCTATCAAAGCCTTACAGAAGTCCAGGTATATGGTATCTGTCACTCTTCCCTTATCCACTGATGCAGTCACATGGTCACAGAAGACCATCAGGTGAATCAGGCATGTGAACTCCTGTTGGCTGTCCCTGATCACTTTCTTGTCTTCCATAAGTTTTGACTTACCTTCCAGGTGGATCTGTTACATGATCTTACTGGACATGGAGGTGGACTGCCTCTATTTATAGAAACCTATATATAAAAAAATAGGTTGCTTCCACTGTCAACTTGTGGAAAAGTAAGGATCTAAAGTGAAGGATGTTTCTGATAAATACTTGGTGCTTTCTAATTTGGGGATATGCCTTCTAATTTGGGGATATGCTTTCTAATTTGGGGATAGTGTTGCATCTTGATGAATGTGTGTGAAGTATGCTTACTAAGTACATGTATACAGCTGTAGAGCTGTGAAATGGGACCTGAAAATCACAATACAGTTAAATGAATGTAGGCCATAATGCAAAACTTTTGTGGGCTTTGCTGTCTGAACTGTTGTATTGATCTGATCTGTACAGATCCACCCCTCCCAGTGTTCTCTCTCCTAAGCCTCTGACTGGTGGCCACTGTCAGAAAAAATTGACAGAAATGTTATCTGCTCCAAGGTGAGCATGACAGCCCACCTGGGGCTAGAAAGGCCCAGCAAGGGCAATTTCTTGTCTAGGTCTCACCTGCAAGTGTTTCTGTCTTGGTAATGCTATATGTGGAAGTGCACTCCTCAGCTTCAGTGTGGGCTTTGAAAAGAAGCATGAAAGAAAACACTTTCATGTCCCAGACAGCAGATGTGAAGCAAGGGATATCTTCTGGAATTTTCTCCTGCAGGAGAAAAGGCAAGTTGTCCCCCACTAGTTATCCTTTAGGTAATTTCTTTTGTGATAGGTGATTATCATCATAGCCTTTCATCTCCATCATTCCTTCTCCTTCATCTTTCCTGTTGCTGGATTGAAGCCATTGCCCTCTTCTCTGAGGGTGACTGAAGAAGCCCTCCATAAGACACTCTGTTGCTGTGAGGGATGAAAACATTTTGAGTTTTCTGTCTTTCCATAGCCCTAAAACTGTATTTGCCTTTTTTAGTTGGTAGTAAGCTGATTTTGATGAAGATTCTTCTCCCTTGGTTTCCATGCAATCCTGATGTTTAGTTGTAAACAAGCTTTGCACATAGGGGTTTCCCCACCTGATGTGTTGTTTTGCATTTGTTAATGTTGATAATGCTTGTTTTTCTAGTCACTCAGTTCTGAGGGCCTTCTGCAGCTCTTCAGTCACTTCTAGACCTGGATATTTCTGACTAGCTTCAGAGGTAACACAAACATGACCATTTTTTTTTGTTGTTGTTTCCGGGTCTTGGAGTAAATTAAGTTGTAATAAGACACAGCAAGTCTTTCTGCTTTTAAAACTTTTCCTTCCTCCTACTTCTTTTACCCTTCAATATTTATTAAACCACGAGTCAAACACTGAAAACTCTTACATACTGGTACACTCTATTGAGTAAGTGACACTTGTTTGAGTGCAGCGGTCACATAGACCCAGGAGAAGGGATTCTCACTTCAGTAGCTGTGACTTCTCCTAGTGTATAATTGGCATTTGTTGGTTCATCTACCAAACCTAACACTGGCTTAAAGCTATATCATAGGGTTGAACTTTCTGATTTCTTGTTTCCAGACCAATTTTCCCTCCTTAGAGAAATGTTTCACTTTTGATTCCTGAGTTTCAGAAATTGGTCTAAATTAGAGGGTTTATGTCGTGGTTAGCGCTCCGCAGTTCCACATTTACAGTCTTTATGAGCATCTGGATCAGTATCACCAGATAAAGGCCTTTTGCTACTTTATGGAAATATTCGTAAGTGGAAAACTCTATCTTAGATACGAAGACAGTGTCTCAGACTCATTGATTTATAAAAGGGGATTACTGGTTTGAGAATATAGAAATAAGAAATTAAAAATGTAAGGGTTTTTTTTTCCTACTGTAGTTCTAAATTCATTTCGGATGTGTTCTGCTATGCAATTACTTACTCTGGGGGACAGAAACTGATGCTACTTTAAATATTTATCTACCTTTTGATATATCTGTTTGTATTTATCTCATTCTGAGTTTAAAGATTGGTTTCGCTTTTGGTGTTACTTGAACACTGCTTAGTATGCATTCCAGACAGTACTCTTTGGTGCTTACTTCAGCTTATTAAATAAAAAAAACCCCACACTGTCAAGAGGCACTGACAACATGCTGTGATATTTTTTCCACTACCATGGAAGTGTCAACTTTCAAAAATGCAGTTCAGCAGTACTTGCCTATCCAGATAATTATTTTTTCAAGTTTATCCCTACGAAACAGCACTTTACAATGTAGACTAAGCTAAAAATGGTGTGGTAATGTGTGGATCTTTGTGCAATATAGCTGTTTGGTGACTATGGTGTGACTTGCAAAGCTTCGTGCAGGTGTGAATCATGTAAACACTTTTTAGATAATCTAAAGCTTTAACAGAAAGGCCTTGTTTAAAAATAATCTGAAATGTAAAAGTGGTGTCTTGTTTTTTTTTTTAATAAAAGTTGAAAATACAGTGTATTAGTAATTCACATTATTACGTCCCAGCTCTGAAATACCCTTGTTGAAATAATGTTTCCTACAATGCATGACAACAGGTTACTTGAGGGGAGAAAGCACTGCTTTTGGTTCTTGGGTCTGCCCATATACCAGTACCTCTGATTTTAGGAGGACTAAAGAGTCTAGTTTGGACTAAGTACCAGGCTTTTACTTAAGATGCTGATGTTAGGAACTTGGCTGCCTGAGCCTCCTTCCCCTTCAGGGAAGGAAAATGTGCACCCAGAAGGAACTTGGCTCTTGGGCATTTTCGAGGGGACCTACACATTCCCCAACAGAGGAAGGAGATGATACTTGGCTCTCCCACCTGAGCAGCTCTGCCAAGAAACGTCAGGTTGGATGGACCTGCCTTACTCTGCAGTTCTGAAAATTAGTACCACTGCTTAAATCTGCATACATTTGAAAAATTCAGTATTTACATTTGTCAGTGATGCTGTTTGCAGGATGTTTTAAAGTTCCAGCCTCTGGTGGTTGCTGCCTCCAGGCCAGCTGTGTGAGCTATGATAGAGGTTGTATTCACAGGGAATGTCCTGTGAGCTATGTTAGTGCAGTTAAAGCAGTCAATGCACTTTGGGTCTACTTCTGGCTATTCACATTTCTCTAACTGGTAGTGTAGATGAGAAGATGACTAGGATACTGATATTTTTCACCTACTTCACCAGGGTTTTATAGTCTTCCTTGATCCTACCCATTTTTTGGCTTGTGACACCATTTGTACCCACATGAAACAGTAGTAGTGGGTGGTAGCCCATGGTCTTGACAAGTTGGGGTACCCTCTTGGCAACATACTTCTTGTGCCTCTCTGTCAGGCTGGCAGATTGGTGCCTCTGCACTCCTTAACAGAGTCACCTTACCAGCAACTTTTTGATTTGACTGCCATCCTCAAGGCTGTAATTCGAAGGTATAATGACAGGTTTGTTTATTGCTTGAGGCACAGTAAAACTGCCACTGTAGAGACAGAAGGGTGGCTGAGGAAGCACTTGAAAAAGGTCTGTGCTAAAGAATATTCTGAGTGCCCCATCAACACATGAATGCACAGCTGTCTCCTGCTTCCTGGGGTGCTTGCCATCAGGGGAAGGCTCAGATGGTCTTTGGCTCAGCTCCTATTCAGTACCAAGTTTCTGAAAGCTTATTTTGAGGTTCAGAAAAACAAACGATGCATCTGTGTGAGAGGGAATTTCAGTTTGCACTGGAGTCTCAAATTAGAACGAAGAGGCTTTGACTTGGCCTGAAGGATATTTCTAGCTCCTTGGCAAAATTGTAAGGCTTTTTGTGTATTTATTGCCCAACTATAAACATTTCACTGAGCAAATCCAACTTAGCCTGAAAGGATCCATTTGTTCTAGCTAGCCTGCCTGGTTTGACAGGCTTAGTCCTTGTTCTTAACCCTTTTATTCCTCCTGCCTCCTGTCTCCCATAAAACATTTGTAAGGGAGAAGTGGGGGGCTCAAGCAGTCTAAAAAAAATACTTTTCTCAAAATTAATTTTCTACTGTCTATGTATTAAATTCTCTCTCTCTTTCTCTCTATCATGCCCATATCAGTTCAGCTTTGGTACAGTTATTGGATTTTCTACTGCTCTTTTCTCAGACCTGAAAACAACTACAGTGTCAGTATTCTCTCATCCTCTGTTCACAGTAACGATATGGGAAGGAATTTAAAAAAATACAGAGCTGTACTTTTATACTTGTAGAGATGCAACCTATCAGATGATGGTGGAGAGAAAGTGTCCTGGGTAGATAAAAAAACTCACAATGGGGGAAAAAATAAAAAAAAAAATTAGAGAACAGGAAAAAGAACTATTTTCTCTCTCAAACTCTCTGGTGGCTCTCCCTGGATGGTTGAGCAGGAAAGGGAGCCAGGCAGGCAGAGGAAATTTCCAGTGGTGCTGCTAAACATGGACAACCTGCAGAACCACTTGGCAGGTTGTCCAGAAGTGACTGTTGCTGGGGTTGGTGGAGGTGGTGCAGCCCACCACAGCAACTTGGTGGGCTAAAACAGGGGAAAGTTCAGTGTGTTCCTCCCAGTTTCTTCCTAAATGGCATGATGTACAGATGACTTCATTTCTGGCCAAGCTTTAAAAAAAAGAAAATTATGTTTAGATTCTGTGTTGATCTCAAAAAACCCCTTGTCTTCATATCTATCTATCTATCTATCTATCTATCTATCTATCTATCTATCTATCTATCTATCTATCTATTCTTTCCTAAAAAGAGAACTGTGGCATAGCTTTTAAGGGCAGAATTTTTAGTAAAGCAATTTAAATGAGTCATCCTACTTTGCTATATAGTATACCACAGAACCACCATAACTGAACTGGTGGAAGAAAAAAATTTCCTTTAAGAAAAAGTCTCATAAATACTCCTTAAAAACTGAGGTAAGCAATGAATGGTGATTAAAAACTGAGAATTCATTTGAGAAGTCATTTCAAAAGAGAATTGCAGGATGTTGAACTAACTACTTGACTGGGGAAAAGGATTCATTTCATTCCTCACTAAACCTACCTGTATCTAGACATCTGGATATGTGCATTTATTTTTGTGCTTTAGTGAATGTATCTTTTTTCCAGGAAGTTCATTGGCTGCTCATGAAATTTTTAGGAAGGTCAGAAGACACTGAGACTCATTCAAATAATATCGAGAATTATTCTTAGGGCTATCTTATTCAGGATTTTGCATAATGCTGAATTAAGTGTGCTCACTGCATCCAGGTATTTAGACTATTGAGGTGACAGGGGATAGTAATTTCCTATGCACCTGAGAGTACACAAGATGAAGGGATTCTCTACTGTGGGACAGAAGGACCTGGGTCGTTGCTGGTGGTACATCTCCTGTACGTGCAAACACTAAGTCAGAAGATGTGAGATGTGACGTACTCCAGTGGAGCTGACAGGATTACTTTTCCTCGTTTTTTTCCTTACTAAATCTGTGGACTACACAGACACTTATCACCTTCCTTCCTACTGTTTCTTGGGACTTACTGTAAGGATCCAGGGAGCCCCTGGTGGTCTAGTGGTTAAGGGAGCGGCGCTGTCACCGCCGAGACCCGGGTTCGATTCCCGGTCAGGGACACTCCCCGGGCAGATGGAGCTCATTAGCCATGTAAGGTAATCCATCTACGTCCTAAGGACCTCGCTGCCACCGTCCAAGCTCGCTTGGCCCCGGCAGATGAACCTTAGGATTAAAGGGTGGGCTCAGTTCCGCGCACACTGTGTCTCACCTAAAAAATCCAATGCACAGGCTGGAAGGTGTAAAGACCTTCCCCGGATCTTTGCTCATGATGACTGGCCATTATTATTATTATTATTACTGTAAGGATCTGGAGTTGGGAATGAAGTATAGGGGACACCTTTCAAGTCCAGTTCCTGTATCTCTGCCCTGGCAGAAATACTCCGTGGCCATGTCCACAGGATACCCGTTCAGGGTCTGGATCCCCACAGCAGGAGAAGAACCCTTCTTCACAGACTACCCAGGAGCTAACTAGCAAAGGAAGCAGGTTTTGTTCAGGCATTCCAGACCTGAGTTGAATTTTTCACTTCTTCCCTTATTTAGAAGGTGCTATATATCAGGCACCCTCTGATACTTCAGGGTATTTATGCAGATGTGAATTCATTCATGCTGATTGTATTAAAACTTTTTCCTACCTCAGAGGGAAACAGGCAAACTCTTACACAAAGTAAACGTAACTTAAACTGTCAATTTATCTTATTTTAAAATGATGATAGAGTCCATTTTAGAAAGCTATTGAGACAGAAAAATGAGCATGGAGAAGGATAAGAGTGGGAGTTGTTACGAGAGAAAAATCATGTATAGTACCAGGTTTGTTTTATTTTCATTTTCTTTCAGAGAACTTTGTTACTGTCATAGAAAAGGATGGAAAATGTATTTTCAAGATACTAGAGAGAAAAGAATGTACCAGTACCATTTCTCTCTGCAAATCCTATTTGTTCTCCAAATACCTTAATTCCATATGTATTCCATTATAAATAGATTCCATTCCATTAATAGATTTTATTTGGGTTTTTTTGCTACTTTATCCAGTTTGTGTTTTGTCAGGTTCCATGGAAGCAGGCTGGCCAGCTTGGAGCACCATCCAGTTCCCCATGCACCAGCCAGCACCTAGCAGTCACAGCACCCGTATCAGTGCATTACTGCTGTAATCAAAGGGCAGTAACATACAGCATACAGATTTGTGCTGCAAATGCATCCAAGAGTAACTGAACATGAGTTTATCTTCCAGCACACTTTTCACACTTTTGGTGAGAGCAGTCAGTACAACAGCACGCATTGTTTTGGTGGGCTTTTCCTCGGGGCCCTGCCACCGTTTTTTGTTGTGTCTCAGAAGCTGCTTTTTCAAGCAGAGTGAGCAGATGCCCTGGCTGCCCATCCTGCTCGCTCATGCTCCTCTGGGGGCTGTTTTCCATGAGGGGGATAGCTGCCATGCCTCAGAGCTTCAGCTCTCCCTGCTCAGGGTCTGGAGTCCCTCTGTCAGTGCTAACCTGGAAGTTTTTCCGGTTTAGGAAAACTCCCCCTGGTGCTCTGCTCCATGATCCTCTGCTCCAGAACACTCCTGCCCGAGCTAGCTCCAGGTTCATCCTAATAAAGCCAGTTGCATGTATTGGTGAGCCCGGAGCATGTAGTAGGACAGTAAGGAAGAAATGCTCAAGTATTAATAAGAACACATACTAAAAACATACTGATGGATAAGTAGAAACTAAAATAGTTGGGAGGGATGGTCTGTGTGGTTTCACACAGCTGTTGGAAGTATTTCCTGGGAGACAGGCTGAGCCTGCTTTGCTCTGCTTCATGTATAGTGAGTGTGTGCTTTACTTTGTACAATCTGCAGTCAAACAAATACCCATTTACTTCTGAAGGGAGAAGTGAAAGATTTAGGTTTGCATAAAGTGCTCTTTGACATGGGACCAACCTAAGCTTTAATGTATTTTCCAGTGCTGCTGGTAGCATT